CTGTCATCCGTACGCAAGGAAGTAAGCACAAGATGCCGAACACCCTTGACAGGATGGAGCGCACCCTTTATGCGACTCGCTGAATATATCACGGCGCTTCGCGCTTGGTGATGTGAGAGCCTGGTCCGGTGAGAACCCGGCGTGCTCCGTCCCGGCTTTGTAGGGATGCGAGGTCAATGGTCTAACGACTACGGCATGCGCGACTATGAATATACCCTCCCCCCGTGCTACGGTGGTCTCACCAGCAAGCAAGTAACCCTCTCGGTGAACGGACATGCTGTACCCGCAGCATTCCAATCTTCTGTACATTCCACTACCGCCCCCGTCCCAACTCAAGCCGTAACGTGCACCTCCTTTTCCCGCCCAACACAACTCCGAAACAGGACGTGCTCCAGGTGTGCAGTGACCCCCGCAAGCTCATCTGCGCGTTCCAAGACGCGTGGGTGATGCTCGAGGCCGCCGGTCGCACGCTCGCCCCTTCCATGGCCAAGTCCTTCCTGCCCGCCGCCGGCCGGAAGGCGCAGCGCAAGGCGGCGCGGGAGCTGGGCAAGGTGGAGAAGCGCATCGGGTACTTCTTGCTGTGGGCGCGCACCCACGGGGAGGAAGTCTCGCCGCAGATGATGAGGGACGTGGAAGCCGCCGTTGCTCCGGCCGCTGAGCAGCAACGAGGGATCAGGATGGCTGCGTGAAAGGCAGTGTGGGGGAGTTGGTGTCCGTGTTGGGAGCAGCTGTTTGAGGCTGCTGCTGCAGCGCGAATAGAGCGAGAGCACCGGTGTAACAATAAGAGGTATTTTCAAAGAAGAGGCGGGCATTGATGACGGCGTGGGGCAGCGGGGGTTTGAAGCCACGCCACCTCCGTGTTGGCGGAAGGTATTTTATTCTATTCACGCGTGTGCGAGAACGGCGGTGGGTCGTTATGTTTGTATTTTTAGCTACAAGCTTTGTTGAGGAGGCTTCCCGGGTGGCAGCTGGTGAGAAGGCGAGTTGCAGAGACACCGATAAGAGGAGTGTCATTGTGTACGTGGCGGCGCTCAAGGAGTTGCGCATCATCGTTGGATGTTTTCATGGGCAGGAATGGATCTCATATCTTACAGCACCGACATTCCGTTGTTTTTTTTTCAGGGAGAAAGAGCTGGACTGGCGTATGCCGACTGTGCTAGAAGCTAGCCTCGATGGTATTGCTGTCTCTAGTTTGAAAAATATGCCGTAGGACAGGCAGGACCTTTCAGTTTTGTTCTGTCGAACTCCAAGTGTCCCCTCCGGGTCCTGAATTGGTGCTTGGAAGATGCCGGTGGTGATTGGCGCCTTGGAGCAGTGATGGTTGCACACATTGTGCATGCTTTCGTGAGCTTTTGGCTTGGGGAGCGACATCAACAGGTCTTTTTGCCTCGGTTCCGCTGCCGCCGGTCCTAGCTTGTTATCGGGGCGTAGATGGTACGTGGATAATGTCGTGGTGATGACATGTGTTGGTTTCGTGTTTCAAGTCGTTTGTTTTTGACAAGTTACCGCACAAAACGTAAGTGAACAAATTGTTATGCTTGGACCTACTGCAGCCCTCCTTAACGTTTTTCTTCTTTTTTTATAGTTTTTGTTGTGTTATTTTTCGACTTTTTTTGCGGCACCGTGTTGGCAGCGTGGGTACTTGGTGGGTAGCTGTTCTCTCCTTTTCTAGGCCCCACGTCTTAACCAGCGGGGGAACTCTATTTTGTTACGGGGTGTCAATTGAGTCGCTTTGCGCGGGGCGCGGGTTGTAGTTGTCTCGTGCACGTCGGGGTCCTGCGGCTCCCGCCGGTTCCGCTCGTGCGTTTCTGGGCATGGCATGAACTAGTAGATGCCCGTCTGGCGATAAGCGCGTTGTGGGAAGTGATGGTGGGTGCAGAGCGGGGTATCCTTGCCGCGACAGCTCTTTTGTGGTGTTGAACACGGACAGCAGGCACTCCTCGTTGTGAAAGATTCTACATGGCTCCTCTAGAGAGTGATCATAGTTTGGGGTAAGAGAGGGGACGCAGACAGCGAGGGACGATCGTTTTGGCAGCTACAGATATCTACCGCCAGGCGCCAGGACGGACTCGTTTTTTTTTTCGCACGCGATCGATGGGTAGGTCGTAATGGCCACAACTTTCGCCTTCTATGTAAGCGTTGGCACGGGCCTTTTCTCTTGGTTGCGTTGTGTTGTTTTTTTCAATTTATGCACAGCGTTCGTGTGTGTATGTGGCTATCGTCCATCATCCTCAGTGTGTGTTACTGGATTTTTTGCACGAAAACCTTTGGGTCGACGTGGCGTTTTTGGACGGGATGTTGGCTGATGGCCCCGAGAACGGCAGGCAGGCGGAGATGTCCGAAAAATTGGGTTTATTGTAAGTGCCACCCTACATGTAGGTTTGTGGTGATGTTGGAGGACCGTCCCACAGTACCTATTTGGCGGCGTTTGCACAGCGTGAGAACCAGCGAGAAGAGAGTCGCGGACTCAGCACCCAATGGATGTGGACGTTGTAGAGCCGAAGACAAATCATGAAACGTTTTTGTTTGTGTTCTGTTGTGCATTTTTTGTTTTGTTTATTTCGTTCCTGTCTGTGTGCAAAGGGGCGGCGGCGTTGTAACGCATGGTTTTTCCCGACCAAACCATGTTGGCTGGGTTGACCAGGCAATTGTGCCTGTCATAATAAAAGGTGCCAGTAGTGAACTAGGTGTGACAGCTGGAGGGGGCGGCGGGCGATGGAACAGGCGGTAGGCGGCAGCCGACGAGCGGGTATGACTAATCCGTCCCCGGGGGTGCAATGTGCAATGTCGTACCTGATGCTGGAGGGTGTGGTGTCGAGAGGGCTCGGGTATGCTTTCTTCGCGGTTCATGTTGTTTGGCGAAGAAGGTAGCAGATACATTGCCTCGCGCTTTGGCTGAAGTGAATGTAGCAGCCCTTGGTGGAGCCCTTGTGCCGTCAATTTTGTCGGCAACATGACGGAATGTAGTGCATTGCGCCTCCTGCGGAAGGCTAACATAGAGGAGTTGGTGAAGCGTGAGTGAGTGTGGGCAGAAGCTTGAGTTCATGTCACGACCGTTAATATGTTGGGTGCGGTGAAGTCGGTGACTCTCGCCCTTGTAGCCACTGTTGTTGGCCGTACGAGAAAAGAAACAGTTTCCCCGACGGCGGCAAGGGTTGACTGACCCGAACTGTGCCTCCAGGTGTTGTACATTTTTCTCCATGTTTCTTGTAAATCGTGTGTTTGGGACACATCAATACCAGTATCGTTTGTGTACTAGATATTCACGAAACACGGTTTTATTGTGTGGCAAGGCAGCAAGGGTTGACACCCGACATGCCCCGAGGTGTCTTGGATTTTATTCTCGCTTTGCGCTGTCGCCTTTCTGGGCGATGCGCCTTGAACGCGCGCCAGCAAATCTGATTGTTGCAGAAAAACGGTTCGCTGTTCACTGCATGCTTGGGGGGATCATGAGACTCGGCTGTCGGCCTTGTCTTGCAGCAAAAAGAGCGTGCACGCCGGAGATACATGTGTAGGGTAGAACGAGGGGGAAAACCTTAGGTTTGGTTTTGGTCCACTTTGAAACTGTTTTCAATCATTTGTTTGTGTTTGTTGTGTGTTGTCGCGCCGCTGCGATGCCTGTTGGCGCGAATACATGACCTTTCTAGTCTGGTCTTAAAGGGAGCAGGGGATTCAGCGCAGCCCTTGCCGCACAGGTTCGACCCCTGCACAGCAGTACCTTGGGTGGTCTCGAGTGCTGCGGCGTTTGCGTGGAATCACAACCGCCCGAAATATATTTGGCATTCAAACCTCGGTGTGACATCGGAGGTCTGTCCTTGTTCATTGTTGCGGATAACGCGCGTACCCCTCTCCGTCGGAGGCACGCGTTCACAACTGCGTTGAGACACATCCCCCAAAAAACAATTGGCATAGGCTTGTGGGAGCAAAGGGAGTGGCGCTTTGGGCGGGGTCGCCAAAGCTCCAAGGGACGGTTGTTTCAGAAAAAACTTACCCATCCCCTCGCCATCCCGGGGCGGCAAAGAGCTGTAGGACGGTGGCTCTTGTTGTCCCTCTCCTCTTGAACGGGGCTACCTCAGCGTACCCGCCGGACGTGGTCATATTTCGACAAAAATAAGGGGAGCACACCCCCTCCTCGTATCAATCCTGTCTCCTTCGCTGAGATGCAGCACCCTCGCCCACCAAACCAATACGGCACCACAGCGCGCACCAAAAGCAACCTCCGTCCGTTTTACAATGGAGACCACTAACACCCACCACCACACGTCCACATTGCCGACATTGCCCTATCAAAAGCGATTCCTGCATTTTTTTACTCGAACGACACCTCACGATAGTTCAACAATTGTGCGCGCGTGCGACCTATCACAGTAGATACCGCGCACAAGCGAACATAGTCGCACCCAAGACCTCCTTTCGCACGCCACGCTACTTTTGGCTCGTGACAACGGAAGGCGTCCGCGGGTAAGTTGGACCGGTACCGATGGAAGAAGGTTCACCGGACCGATTGATATTTTGAGACAAAAGCGACACATTTCACGAAGTATGTACGCATCGAGGAGGCGTTACCCTTGGAAGCGACCAGCAGCAGCTGGGGGGGCTGCGGTGTGAATCATGGCAGACACAGGTGCAGCCGGGCCCAGTCTTCAACAGGCTGTGCGTATTGTTGCGCGTGCAGACAAAGTGACACGCGGGAACAACAAGAGCGGCCATGCAGAAACACGTCCGTCCGTTCGAGGGGGGGTTCAGGTGCGGGCAAGGAAACGGCTGACGGTGGGATGGATCATTCACGCCTTGTATGTGGGGGAAATGAGGTGTCTTGTGGGCGATGCGCATCGTCCATGCTGATTGAGTGCATATGATGCTGACACTCTGTAGTAGAGCAATGCGAAGAGCTTACAGCGTGGCGCAATGCGTAAACCTCCGCCAAGACGGGGGGTCTGCAAGCAAGCAAACACCCGATCGACATCGCGATGGCGAAACAACCTCCGAGCGGCCTTCCCCTCCGCACCACGTGACACATCAGCATCAGCAGCCTATTTCGTGACAGGCCTCACGGTCGCTCGCTCACCTCTCTATAGCCCATGGCGTTGACCTGCTGCACCGCGAGCACCAGCGACGACCCGCTGGTTGCCTCGCCCCTTGCCCCCCCTCCCTCGCGGCCACCCCCACCACCACCAACCCGAAGGTTCGTCAGGCGGTACTTCTGCCCGTACGCCCTGCCCAGCCACCGCCAGTGACCGCCCCCCCCCTCTTCTTCTCCGCCGCGTACCCCCCAGACGTCGCAGTGGAGCGTGGCCCACGGAGACCCGGCACCAAACACGCCATCCCTCTTGGCAGAACCCCTGCCCCTGCCGACGCAGCCTTCGGATTCCCAGGCAAGGGATAGGTCGACGGCGATGCCTCCGCCTCCGCCGCCGCCGCCGCCGCCACCGGTCTCGCCCTCGCCGTAGAAACACGCCACCTCTTCCGCGCGCAGGCCCTCGATCCTCCCGAACGTGGAGGGCGTTTCCCGTCGCCAGGGGCCGATTACCACCTCGCCCAGGAAAGCGCGATACGCCGCTAGCCCTGCAACTCCCCTCCGTTCCGCCCCGCTCCTCCCGCCGGCGTTGCTAACGCCGCCACCGCTGTCTTCGAGACGCCTTCCACCCGGGAGGGCGGACCACGCCGATCTCGCCGCCACCTTTTCTCCGCCCTCTCCTTGGGTAGACAAGGTCGGCGACTTTCTTCGCCGGGCGCAGACCAAGCTTACCTCGCGGATGGCGCGAGACCCTCCCATCCGGAGGTCCCGCACAACGTACGTCCGGGTGATCCATGTTGACGATAGGGATGTGCCGGTGGCGGCAGCAGAAGAAGGCGAGTCAGCGCGGCCATTGCGCTCCTCGCCAAGCCGGGTCCGGATGGCATCATAGGACTCCCCGGCATCACGAAGAGCTCTGTCTCGAGGTGGTGAAAAATAAGAGCAAGGCGGGGGGGAGGGGGTGTGTGTACTCATAGTCGTGCATGCCGTAGTCGTTAGACCATTGACCTCGCATCCCTACAAAGCCGGGACGGAGCACGCCGGGTTCTCACCGGACCAGGCTCTCACATCACCAAGCGCGAAGCGCCGTGAGATATTCGGCGAGTCGCATGAAGGGTGCGCTGCATCCTGCTAAGGGTTTTCGGCATCTTGTGCTTACTTCCTTGCGTACGGATGACAGCTGCGTATGACTTAATTTTTTTTCTGGTGCTTTCACTTCCAGAGACAGTTGTAAGCACTGTGTAACTGCCTCGAGGGTGCTTGACCATTTTAACACAACGTGGTGCGATCATCCCCCTTGCGCGGAGTGAGGGTTCTCCACCCCGCACAACATGCATGATCTACTAGACGACCATCATGGTTACCGCCAAAAAAAAACGGAGGTAAAAAAAAAAAACGGTAACCTGGTTGCCGAGTTCACGAAGTGAATTGGCTTGTTTTACAACGTCGTTGCCAAGCGACGAAAACCCAACCCCGATGGCAAACACCGAGGGAAAAAAGCAGAGCAGAGACCCAAGTCCACGCACGATGGGGTAAAGTTGTGGCAATACTAGGGCATACAAGAGCGCTAGGGTTTCGTTGGCGAGGCGTCCGGTTCATGAGAACCAGACAGGGACCGAGAAAACAAGAAAGAAAACGAACTGTACGAAAATAACGGAAAAAATAATCCGACATGTCCTTCCCAAATCACTACGCACCTGACCCTAGCTTGGAGACCATCTTCTGCTGACGCCGCCGCCGATAGCCCCCGGCCGCTCTCCTCGCGCACCGGGCAGTACGTGGCCTTTGTCTCCGTGAAGGTCAGCCGTTTCGAGAAAATCGCCTGCTGCTTCTTGGGAGCTCCCTTCCGGCAAGTGGGAAGAAAAAACGGGAAGTGCAAGGACACCGGCCCCGATAACAACGATGTTGAGGCGTCCCGTCATCCAGCAAGATAATGCGGGGAGATCGAACCAGGCTGCTCTGGCGAACGCGCGGGAGCAGGGTGTGTGCGTGTGATTACGAGCATTTGGCGATCACCTCTGCTGGTGGTGTGCTCCGATGCACCAGCTGTTTACCCACGGCTGTGCCAGCAGCAGTCTTCGGTTCACCTTCACATACTCCAAAAACATAACTGACCTCCTTCCCCCAGTCGCGAAGAACCACTTCACGGCGTCCCCCGAGCTGACCGGGTACGTCTAGGGACAGGAGTAGGGCCATTTCGCTGTCGGCGTTGCCGCAGAAGGTCAACCGGATCTCTAGGGGCTCCGCAGGCAGGGGTACATCGCAGCTGCGTGAGGCAATCGCGGAGCATAGAAGCACAAGTCAGTCGGTGGCGGCGGCATGTGTGTATGCAGCAGCGCAACGTGTGCTGCAAAGACCGCAGGGGCGGGGAGAGAGGCTAGGGCTACCAAAGTCGGTTGAGAGACATTGTTGCCTTGTAGTGACGCACCACGTCACCAAAGGCATTCCAACCAAAAATATATCGACAAAACACACACACACACACACACACACACACACACACACACACACACTTTCCAGTTCATGGTAGATAGAAGTGTTTTGTGTTTTCAACCGCACTAAGACTGACGTCTTTTCATTGGTCAGCCGGTTAGCGCGGTCGATGCTAATAATAAAAACACACACACACACACACACACACGAGGCACAAAGTTCCGCACCACCCCAAGAGAACGAAAAACGCACGCCACCTACCCAATCACAACCATCACCTGTAGAGAGGGAAAGAAGCGGTGGTTTTTTCGTTCAGAACACCCGTGAACTGCAACGAGGAGGTGCCGTCGAAGCTCTCCGCGAACGAGTACGTCGCTCGAATCGTGCCGTTCGCACCACCCTTAGGGTTGGGCGAACATATGGAGGAGCATTCCGGGGAAAACGTCACACATACAGGGGAGAGATACGCGTTTCGTGGGATGGGGTGGGTGGGTGGATGCAGTCGCCTTTGTTGCGTTCTTTGTGTTTTGTTGTTTCCTTCGACCTGTTTGATGGACAAGACGTGCAAGCTCATCGTGGCTGTTAAGGCAGCCAGAGCTCATTTCCTGTTCTAGTGCTACACAAACCACCGACCACAGGCTCAATAATAGAAACGGCGACATCAAAAACAAGAGGCACACCAACAATCGCAACGACGAGAGAAACAATACAAACGCCGAAGGCGGTGCGCCACGATGAGGTACACTTCTTCTCGGTCCTAAGTTCTTGTCGAGAGTGGACAACACATGTCGATGTCTCGTTGGGAACAATCCAACCCTCCTAACAAATCTGAAACACACGCAAGAATATTTTTCGTCTCACCTGAGAGCCACTTGAGTCTCCCGCACGCCTAGCCTTCACCACGTCAGACCACAAGCCACCATTCACGGGGCCCCCTCGCCCCCCGACGAGGGGTGTGAGGCACTGGGACGCCAAGTCGTAGAACGCCCCCCCTACGACCAGGCGATCGTCGTCGTCGTTATCGCCTTGCATTTTGTTTTTGTCTCCTTGGTCGGGTGTATCATCATCATCATCATCTGCTGCTGCTGCTGCTGCGGGGGGCATCGTCGGCGGTACAAGTGTATGATGGCAGTGCAACGTCATGCCACCGACATCATAAGCTCTCTCTATCTCTCTCTCTCTCTCTCTCTCTCTCTCTCTCTCTGTGTGTGTGTGTCTGATTGACTGTAAAAAAAAGGTGTCCGATCTCGAAACAATATGCTGGACGTCAGATAAGTACGGTGCTGTCAACAACTCCTCGGAACCGACGCCTACAGCAGGAAACCTCGACCTACGCAAAAACGCTCGGAATCGGTATGCGTGAAACGTCTGGTACAGCGTACCTAATCATGCAGCAGGGCCAGACCGCTAGACTACTCCCCCAGGCACGACACAAAAACAAAACATGGCTTCATGATGTTTTGTCTTAACGTACCAGCCGCCCTCGAAGCTCGAAACACGGCAACTTCCTCCCCTCGAATTCTCCAAGTATGTCCCAGGCCGTGGCCAAAGTTCACCACCAGGGGCAGCAGCGGACCCCCCCCCC